CGAAAGTGCAGTTCACCTCGGCCCGGATGAGAATGCCTTTTTGGAAAAGGAGGGCAATGTGAAATGTAGTTGAAAATGAAGGCCTACTCGTGTCATTGTGGACGAATTCAATTAACAATTTCCCATTACCTTTAACGAAATAGGCTGACTACAGCTTTCATACCTCAAACTGGTGCTACATGCTTGCAGATGAATGAAGTTAACCCATGCTCCGGGAGCGGATTATTCGTATCTTTTGACAGGGCTTTGCCTCTTTTTTCAACCCCTTTACTCTGACCACATGTAAGGGGCTGAAATGTAGCAACATTTTAGCCTTTCCGCTTTCCACACTGTCAACCCTAAGTTCGAGTCCGGCTCTGTAATGGCCAGCTGGCAGAAGGCCATGTTCCCTTGCTCTGTTCATGAGAAGTAGTCTTGTATATTATGTTATTATTTTCGGTTTGGGCTAAAAGACAGTGTTTCACTTTTCAAAGAAGAGAATAATGGCGATGTACAATAGGGAGTGGGAACGTACAAGACTGGGCCAATGATTGGTTAATTAGACGTCGAGAGCTCTGATTGGCTAAACTGATGCGGCTGAGCCTGTCTAAAAGTAAAGTAGGGGGTGCAAATAAGTGGGAGTCAACTGAGGTCTGCCGTGTTCTGGTGAACATGAGACTCTTGCAGACCGACAGTCAATTGAGGCCAGGGCTAAGAGGAAACTGGCGACTTGTCTGGGACTCGTGCAGGTCGTCGATTGGTCGATTGGGATTCGAGGCCTTCTTTCTGTCGGCCTGTTTCCGCTTTCTGGTGTCTGGTGTCTGGTGTCTGAAATCGGGGGTCGGGCATCTGCTGAGGCGGATGGAAACTGTAAAGTCCGTTTGTCTGTCCAGTTCAGCAGGAAAGTAATGAAAGAAGCGGTTTCTACGGCAGAGCTGTTCGAGTCGCGACGGGCCAAAATGGCGGCCCGAGGCAGTTGCGATGGGCTCAGATCGACTCGAATGGCTTCGGCAAGACTCTGCACTGCCAGGCTGGCGTGAGACTGTTCATGCAGTAGGACGAGATGGAGGTGGACATGGGATCGGCGTAGCGAAGGTGGGAAAAGTCCAAGTCCGTCTGTCCGCCGATGTGGCCCGTCTGGTAGGCCGTGGAGACGGACTGCGCCGTCTGGCCGTAGTCCTGCGAGTCGGACATTGCCACGTCGGGGAGGTAGGTGATACCCACGGCTCTGTAGGCCTCGTCCATGCCGGAGAAAAGGGGCATTTCGTAGGGCGAATGGTAGGCGGCCGAGAAGAGTCCCACGTCCGGATCCGGCCAATCGGAGTGTTGCAGCTGCGAGCCCAACGGGAGACTGGACAACGAGGATGACGAGGATGACGACAACGACAACGACAACCCAGCCGGGGGGGGCGGTGCTGGGGGGGGTAGCAGCGACGATGACGGCGGCGGCGGCGGCGGTGGCGGCTGCGGCGGTTGCGCTGAGGCTGGCAACAACGTCGTCGACGTGAGTGTTGTCGATGTCATTGGCATTGGCAGCATCGAGGCCTGGGGCGTGTGCAGGTGCAACGAGGCTGGAGGTTGCGATGGCAACAGCAGCAGTCGCGGTGTCGGTGATGGTGACCATTCGTTGAGGTCGGAGGGACCGTAGCCGGGGGTGGAGAGACGACCGTCGGCCGGCAGGCCGGAGAGCAGGTTGGGCGACGTGACATCGGCCGTCATGTCGAGTCTTGAGTTGCCCGAGTCGGAGAAGGGGGTCGAGCTGGATTCGCGAGGGTTCAACAGACCTTGATATTGCAACAAAGTACGGGGACACACCTACAACGAAGGGACAAAAGTGCAAACAGCAAAGAGGTGATCAAACTGACGATAGAGGCAAAACTGTGTTTACGAAGAAAAGATGGGTTTCGAGCAATCTCTTGTTTCACAACTGTTGAGCCTACTTCCATTTCGAGTGGAAGTGTTGCGTAAAGAGATTCGAAGGTCGGTTCCACCAGCCGATTCCTCTTCACCAGCTGTCGATTGGCTTTACTACAACATTCATGCTGACACTGTTTCCGAGGCAATCTCGTTCGATTCCCGTGAAAAGGTGCTAAGCTTTCGTCCATCCCATGAAGGACATCATCAGAGCGTCACAACAAAATTGAAACTGGTTTATCCCTACATGCCGTATAATGATACATTTTCATCAGGTACAGTAGACAGAGCAATCCATCTTCGTTTTCTAGTGGGCTCGACCTCCGAATCTCTTCTCCATGAACTTTTACCCGAAATGGAAGTGAAAAAAGCACTTATAAACAATGAGATTCTTCGAAACCCAAAGCACGTATCCAACATACAAGGTAGAACGAATTATAGATACAAAGAGAATCTTGGTTTCGGTGAATCTCCTGAGATAATATTGTTAGGAAGACCTTCATTTCAAATAAAAGTACATGAAGAAGAGATTCGTTGCTCGATCTCACCCAAAATATTACATTAAGTTCTTCAAATTAACCAGATATGCCAGATTACGCAACCCCAGA